TGGTCAAATCAACTTCATGTCGCCGGGGCGGCACAGCGAAATGAAGCTGATTTGATGGTTGCGCCACTCGAGCTGGAAGAAGGTGGCATTCTAAGGCAAGCTGATTGTGTCATTAATAGCCACTTTTACTTATTACATGACACAACGGTGTGCCATACAACTCGAGTGCCAGCTAGCAGCTGAAAATGGTAATGTTCAATATTTTCAGTCAGAATGAATGAAAACGGTCATATCTAAGCCAAAAATTGGTTTATAAATATGGGAAATAATCCATTAATAAGTTGATTTGGCATATAAGTCACAGGACATGCAAATTATGCAACCAACCGTGACTTATAGGCCGAAAAAAAAAAGGGTAAGTGAAGTTGAAATGTATTAATTTGTATCATTTTTTGAGTCATGTTAAAGTGTCTGCTGATAAAAGCTGATTAAAAAAAATCTCTCCAATATTGACATCACACTGACTTGGTTTCAACCTTTATTTACCCTGCAACGACTAATTAGGGGCAATATTTTTTTAAATCTCTGCTTTACATTCAAACCTTACAACTGGGACTTTGCCAGTTTAACCACAGACTCTGCTGCTGGTTGCTGGAGCAGTTGGGCGTTACGTTGCTGAAGGACACCTTGAGCGATTTCTATTTGGGGTGCCAACAGCCCATTACAACCTCAACCAGTTGACCCTGAAGCCAGCTTCGTGCTTTTGTGTGACTCCACTGCCGCCAACACAAGAACTGATGCCATGTTTAATCTCTATGTATGCTGAACAGAAGATGTCCCATCAGAATAAATAGTCTGATGCAAACTGTTCCAAAAAGAAATGGAGGGAGGGGGGAATAAAAGTAAAAGAGTGGATGAAAAAGAGAGAAACAAAAAAAGAGAAGAAAGTGTGAAAAGGAGCACTTGAGAAAAAGAGAAGAGCAATGAGAGGAGAGCAGTCCCAACACTCTCTGGCATCCACAGATATTATTCATCGAGAAGATATGAATACAGCCTCAAGTGCAAGGCTTTAAGCCACCTGAGAATATACACACACACAAACACACACACACAGCAGAAACACACCCAGCAGTGATATGCAAACACAAATATTGCACAAATGCATACAAAGAAAAATGTTTCTGCCACAGGAAAACACTGTTCAAACACATGCAAATAAATAGGACAAGATATGCAAACCCTCCACAGTACACAACACTTCATCACACACACACACACACACCACACACAAACACACAGAGTGATAGGAAATACACTAACCAGAGAAAAAAGCAGGAAAAAGAAAGAGGGAAAAGGAGGAGCAAAGTTGAAAAGAACATCAAACTGCAACTAAACAGCATCTGAGAGTTGTTGTATGTGAGGATTACAGGGAGAGACTGAAAACAAAGGAGAAAAGACCAAAGAGAGGTCTGTGTAAAAGTATAAACAGAGGCATGCAAAATTTTAGATTATATTTACTGAATAGTATAGAGAGAAATAAACTTAAATATAAAATGCTCTTGTTATTTTAAGCAGAATTATTGCTCATTTTATTTCACACTTATAAAGAGTGAGAAAAAAGTCACATGTAAAGGTCTGAACACTAAAGAGTTTGAGTCTTCTTCTAGAGGCCTCAGATGTTTGTTATATTCTTGGCACAGCAACAGTATTAAAGTCTGTTAAGAAATATGAATACAGATTTTGAAGCTTATAAATATTTTTGATCTTCTCTGGACATTAAGCAGCAGTCATGATGAGCTCCTTGAATCAACGGTCCAGCACACTAAATATCAAACTGAGCTACACTCGCAAAGCAAAAGAAGGCCACGAGTACATATGGTTTAAAAGAAGATATTAGTTTTTTTTATATATAAATATTTCAAAAAGGTGATTGGGGAATGCCAGTAAAAATTTGAGGGAGAACTGTGAAAGGCAAATAGAAACATTTGACTCTAAAAGAGCTTCAGAAGGATTTGGCTGACTCTGAAGTTGTAATCTCTGGTCAACACCAGTCATATGACCCTCATGGGCAGTGTTGTGCACAAACACATTCAAACGAGCATGCTTAAAGTTAATCTTGTTAACTTTGAACTTAGCTGGGTTGTTTTTGAACTGAGGAATTTGAACTAAGCATGGACATTATTTTAAAAGAGAACAGCTGCTGTAGACTGACTTTTAGGGAAAAAGTAAGTTACCAGTAAGTGTGATGAGAAAATTGATACAATGATGCCAAATTTTTGATTGGAGGAATGGTGGAACAGACGTTAGAGAAGGTGAGCCTGAGATTGGGTCACTGGTTTGAGCATCCAGACTGGCATATAAAATATGGGTGGGAAAAGTGAAGCACGCACATCTGCCTCCTTCTCCTTCTTGGACCCTTGAGCAAGGCCAGGGCAGCACCTTAGATTGCGTGCTCACATGTGTGATGTGAAAAGGCAGATAAGGAATTTCCCCATTAGGGATTCTATTAAATACAAATAATCCACAACCTTTTATGAGAAACTCTTTTCTGCAAACATTGAGTTTGTGAGTTTAATTTAATTATTTATTGATGTGAGCTTGCACAGCACTGCTTATGGGAAACACCACTGAAAATTATCTTCTGTTTCTTCACTTTAAGGTTCAACGTCAGAAGTTTGCACATGTATAATTTTTGGAAATAAATCTGGTTTGGCTTTGATCACCTGCTGAAAGCTTCATTTATTCAGGCAGCATTCTCTTTACTACAGTGTGCAAACCAACAAAGAATGTTTTACTGATAGTGGACAAATTGAAGTCACTAAAATTGCAGCTAATTCGGAAAACAACAGGAGTTGATAGCGAAAGGAAAAGCTTAAATAACAAAATGAGCACATCACAAAACACAATGAACTACTTCAACGTGTTTAATATAAAACTTCTGCCTTGACTCTCACAGGCCTACAAGCCATAAAATGTCTAAAATTCCTAAAATGATCAATTGAGGGCAGTTTATGAACTGTTATATTTATCAAATGTGGCATTACTGATTATTGCCCAGGCTTCCTTATCTTATCTTTCCCTTTAAAATAATGAAAAAGAGAAATAAATGTTATCTTGTGCAAAATATATCATTGATTTTAATGATAGAAATTTAATTAAAAAAAACTTTTGTATCTCAGGAAAATAATAGATTCACAGGGGAAATGGAAAGAGGATAAAATATGACATCAAAGTGTAGATGAATGCATAAATTTAAACTTGTGGAAAAATTCAGCGGAAAAAGCTAATAATTAGATTAATAGTTGAAAATCTAAATCCCATCCATCCATTCAATTAGAGGTAGGACAGCAAAGGAGATGACAGTGGTGAGAAGAAGAAGGACAGGTAGGCACAGATAGCACTCAGCAAACAATAAAAATGACATCTTTGCTCCAAGTTTGACTCAGGATGACTGTTGTTTCATTATAATCTCATAACTGTCAGATCCTGGGGCAATGGAGAAAGAGGAGGGGATGAGACAGACTGGGGAGGAGGGGGTTGTCTTGGCAGCGGGAAATGGTTTTATAATGGAGAAACATAGAGGAAATTTGAACTGAATCTTTATGTGTGGTTCGTCAGAGCTGAATGAACACTGGAAAAGACAGATGGAGACGAAGTTTGGCACAAGCAAATAGAAGTGCACGTTGGATATGTTTAGCAAATATGAAACATTTTTCTCACTCATACAGCCTGGTTTGATTCCTTCAACCACAGGTACATTTAATGCTTATTTAATGCTAACCAGTGGACGAAATATAATGAAACTTTCAGGAAAAGCTCATTGGATAAACATTTACAACTTGGAAGTCAATACAGTTAATGAAGGCTAACAACCAATAGACAATAACTGACGTAAAAATGCTTTTACTTTGTCACTTTTACTGATATTGGGATACATATTGGTGTGGCTATATCTGAGAGTCATCCTCTGAGTTAACACATCTGACAATACCATATAAGATTGCCAAGGTGTAACCAAATTAGCGATAACTCTGTCGTTAACATAAGATGATCTTAGTTTAAAGCTGCACTCACTGATTTAATCATCACGTGCCACCTCATTTTACTCTTTCATTCACTTTTAAACACTCAGTCATTCAACAAACTCATCCCTTTCTTCATGCTTTGTTGATTTGTTAAGACTTGCATGAATATGCAGTATTTACATCAAAATGCCACCAAAGTGAATATTTATTGGCCAACAATACTAGATGTAAGTCTCCTTTTAAAAACTGTGTAAATAGAATAGCAGGTCACACACATTCCCAAGAAATCTCACTTCCACCAAACGTTTCTGACAGAATACGAACACAACATCTGTTATTCAAAGCAGCGGGGCTGTTCTTATTTTTTTCTTCTGAAACTTACTTGGTTTATAAGGCTTTACTCACTGGCAGCAAACAAGTATGTAAAATATTAAGCAAGCATTATTTCAAAACCAAATCTAAAGATGCACATATATACAAGAAGATATTACAAAAAACAAAAAAAAAGTAAAGAACATCAAGTTTTGAGCAAAAGATTTGCACATTTTGTTCAATAAGTTGATAAAACCAAGAAAATTAGAACCTTTGAAACTGGTTCTATTTCTCACAGAGCTAGTAAGTTGTGTTAATTCATATGCTTTTAGGTAACAAACTAACTTGAATAAATAATTATCTATTCCCTCCTTTGGTATTTATTTGAAAGGTAAAAGGTGTCCTGAGTTCATGAACAAAACTACATTTTTCTTGGGCTGTCTTGTATACTCACTCATTCAATCACCGTGCACCCTCTATTAAGTTTCGCAAAGGTCAGCAGACAAAATCCAATTTCTTCATGAGCGCAAGCTAAAATAGAGCTCAGCCGATACCCTCCTGCTTTTTGTCCATTTCTCACATTTTACACATTATTCTTGCTGCAGAGCCCTTATCTTCACAGTATTTATTATACTGAATAAAGTTTTTAGTGGGGTCTAAATTGACATCACACACAAGCTCACCCACATTTTGCCAGTTATGCTTTGCTTCATGGTTTCTTACCTGTGACAGTGATCAGCATGGGAGCAACCAGTGGCCTGTTGTTATCCAGTTTTCGACTCAGTTTGATCTCTCCGCTGGTGTGATTCAGGAGCAGCAGGTGAAGCTCATTCCCCCGGTCAATGGTGTAGTGCAACCTGTCTGACACATCTGGGTCATGGGCTGGTACCCTCCCAATCACCCCACTAGGAAAACTGTTGGACCGATTGGACACAAAGTTGTTGAAAACGATTTGAAAGTCCTTCAGAGTTGGCCGGTTGTCATTCTGGTCCACCAGACAGATTCTAACAGTGGCCCTGCTGACTAGAGGGGCCGATGTGGCCTGGACTACAATCACATATTCATTACGGGACTCATAATCAAGGTCAATGAGAGAAGTGAGTTCCCCTGAAAAGATATCCATCTGAAAGATTTCTGGAATGTTGCCCTCTACGATTTGATACATGATCTGAGCATTAGCACCCTCGTCTGGATCAGTAGCAGTGATTTGGGCTACAACAGAACCCACAGCACTGTTTTCCTTCACCAGAACCTCAAAATCATCAGCAGGGAAAACAGGTGCATTATCATTTACATCAAGGACTGTCACCTGAATGTGAACAGGGGTTCGTTGGGGGGGCACACCACGATCCACAGCATAGGCGGTGAGCTCGTAGAATGGCACACTCTCACGATCCAGGCGGCGAAAAGATCGAACAATGCCAGATGTAGGTTCAATAGTAAAATCTCCATCCCCATCCTCACCGTACTGGAAGGTATACTGAACTCGGCCATTGGCATGAGCGTCACGGTCTGTGGCTGAGATCTGGAGGACACTGGTGAATGGAGGAGCATCTTCACTTACTGTCCCCTGATATCTGGGACTGAGGAACTGAGGTGCATTGTCATTTACATCATTCACATTGACCTCAACATATGTTGTGTCTGATTTCTGTGGTATGCCATTGTCTTTAGCTGTTATAGCCAAAGTGTAGGTCATCTGGTCTTCATAGTCAAGCTCTGCCTGAAGTGTTATTGCCCCTGTGGCTGGATCGATGCGAAACTGAGGGATGTTGTCTTCAAGAAAGTATGTTATTCGAGCATTTTCACCAACATCATCATCTGTGGCACTAATCACAACTACAGTACTTCCAGATGGCTTGTCTTCGTTCACACTGACAGAGTAATGAGCGCTCTGAAATACAGGTCGATGTGTGTTGGCATCAGTGATGTTGATGTGTACCTGACAGGTGTCATGAAGTGTGCGGTCTGAGGCAGTGACAGTCAGAACATAACGGCGTTCTTGTTTGTAGTCCAGTGGGAGAGCTAAGGAAAGCAGCCCCGCTCCTCCTGCAGTGCTAATAGCAAAGCGGTTTCTGGTGTTTCCTCCTGTTATCTGATAGGTCACAGCACTGTTGACATCTCTGTCCACAGCTGTGACAGTCACTACACTGGTACCAACTGCTGCATCCTCATTCAGTCGAGCATAGTACTCCTTTTGGAGGAACTCGGGCCGATTGTCATTAACATCCATGACTGTGATGGTGACACTCGCTGTGGCAGAAAGAGGTGGCATGCCATAATCCCTGGCCTCGACCCCAAAGAAATAATGCTCCACAGATTCCCTGTCAAGAATGGAGCTGACAGTGACCCAGCCTGTTGCAGAATTGATAACAAATGGAGTGTCAGAACCAGTGCCAGTTAATCTGTACTCCAGGCGAGCATTATCACCTGAATCTGTATCAATGGCTTGAATGTGGAGGATGGAGCTGCCAACTGGTGCACTCTCAAGCACAGATGCCTGGAAAGGTGTGGATACAAATATAGGTGGGTTGTCATTGACATCTGTAACTTGAACACTAACAATTCCAGTGTTGTTAGAGAGAGGTGGTCGTCCATTGTCCTGCGCACGAACACGCAGTGTATACTCTCGTTCAGACTCAAAATCTAGAGGTGCCACTACCTGAATTTCACCTGTGACACTGTCAATAGAAAACTGACCACGGCTGTTACCACTAATGATGTTATAGTGAACAGCAGCATTACTGTCCTTGTCTCGGTCTGTGGCACTCACACGAAGGATCTCAGAGTGAGGCCGAACGTCCTCCTTTACGGCCACCACATAGCGCTTCTCACTAAATTGTGGTACATTATCATTTTCATCCAGCACAGTGATGAAAACTTTGACAGTAGCAGAGCATGGGCCCGGATCCTTCCCCTGGTCGCTTGCCTCCACTTGAAGCGTGTAGTGTTCATTTGATTCCCGGTCCACAGATCCACGAGTTGTAATGAGACCAGAACGTGGATCAATCTCAAAGGCAACTCGTGCTATTGCAGCTGAATCACCAACAAACCGGTAACGGATATTGGCATTAGATGGTGAGTCAGAATCTGTTGCTCTCAGCTGAAGGATGGGATAGCCTTCCTCTACATTCTCCCTAATTGTCTCCCTGTATTCTGTTTGCTCAAAGATAGGAGAATGATCATTCCGATCTGAAACAGTAATGGCTACCATAGTGGTGCCAGAGAGGCGAGGGGAGCCTAAATCAGTCCCTGTGACCCTGAAGTAATGCAGATCCATGTGTTCCCTGTCAAGAACCTGAGTGGTGGAGATGAGGCCTGAGTCTGGGTGGATGTGAAAATAGTCAGATGATCGACTGTTCATCAGCGGGGCCATGGTGTAACTCACCCTGCCTGCATCTCCTGCATCTGGGTCTGAAGCTGACATTATAATAACTGAGGTGCCAGGTGGCTGGTTCTCAGCTACCTGAACTTGGTAGTTATACAGTGAGAAATGAGGGTGTCTATTGGCTGCACGTCTAGATCGAGACCATGGCATCAAAATCCTCCTGTCTTTTTTTCCTGGTGAGGTACCATCATCTGCCACTATTATCAGTCGTTCCAGGCTCCTCGCTCCCCTTGAAGTTTGCCCTTCCTCCTCCTCAACCTTAGTCTCATTCACCTCACTTCCCTTGTGGCTTTCATCTGCTTGGCTCTCTCTTTCCCCCCTTGTGTGATATAACTCTGTGATGGCTGAAGTGGTACTCCCCCTACCCTGACCCATCCTTCTCTCAGCTTCACTCTCCTCTCCCTGGCTTCCCTTTGTAACAACCTTCTCCCACACCTCCTCCTCCTTCACTGCACGTGGTTCCCTGCCTCTCATCAGCCACGCCTCTCCCTTGCCCTCCCCCACCTGTAATTTTTTCCCCCAAACAGCATCAGCATCAGCAATGGACCCCTCAGTGCCTTCTCCCCCCCTTTCTATGCTCCTCTCCCTTTCTTCTCTTGTCCCCATCTGCTGCTTATCTGACTGTCTGACACCTTCAGGCTCTAATAGCACTTGATTACCAGTTTTTAATTGCATATGTGCACGTTCAGCTTGTTCAGTGGCTGAACAGTCACTGGGAATGCTCTCAGTGCATCTCGCATGGATGGCATTTTCCCACAGATCTGTGTTTTGTGTCTCACTATGCCAAGCTGACTTTGTTATATCAGATTCATGATTATACCCATTTGTTGCTTTGTTTCCCTCCTTTTCGTTATTGTTATTGTTGTTTGTGTTAAATTTGCTGAATAGAAATACACGCTGAGCAAATAGTGGAACTGTTGGTTGAGTTGAATTGACCTCCTCTGCAGAGGAGGAGGGCTGCCACGTGGTCTTGATCATTTGTGGGAAAAATGAAACATGCTGTTCTCTAGTTCCATTATGTGTTTTTAATTTAGTTCCAGAATGAGTTGTGGCTGAGACAGCACTGAAGGATGAACAGGGAAACTTAATGGGCAATACAAAGCCTAGGTCACTAGATGCAGCTGAAATTTGTACTTTTTTAGCATTTATACTGCTCGGTTTGGATAGGTTTACTCTCTGGTAATTATCTGTTTCTGTCTTAGTGTGGGAGTTGAATTCAAGATATTTTAATTTGATGTCACTGGCTCTTTTCTTGGACTCAAACTGTTGGTTGGATATTTCTGCCTTAATACTCAATTGGTTGAGGAGACTCATCTGTGTTCCTCCTCCCTGGGGGCCCATAAATCCAGCTAAATAACCCTCCCCCCTTGGATTTTTTCTGCCCAAACAACTGAAGTAACCACCAGTAACCTCCCTGCTCTGCCCTCTGGATACTGACTCTGATTTTTCTTTCTGAAGCTCATAATCAGTACTGAGTAAGAGGGTCACAATTGGAAAAACTAAACCATTATCTGGATAATGAGATAATTTAACGTGTTTTTTGCTGTCGTAAAGCCCTCCTCTCCTCCCTTTCTTCTCTCTTCTTTTGCATCCCCCTTCATCAATAATCCTGGCATAATCAGATCTGGCATTTGCCCTGGCACCTTGGTAACTCTCTGCCTTCTCTGTCCTGCTGCTGCTGAATTCACCCACCTCCCTGTTGCTGCTGATAACATTGTGCCTGCCCAAATGAGAACAATTACCGGCCCTCCTGTCAGCATCCCATACCTGCTTCTTGTTAATGTTCTTGTAAACTAGTTGTTGCTTGATTTTATAAGTGCATCCGGTCTGAGAGAAAATAAAAGTTGGAAAATAACACACGCTGTCCAGTTTTGCAGCCCAAATCCAGTCAGAAAAGAATGGATAACACTTGTGATTTGAAGCATCAGCATGAGGTAAACTGTATCCAGAAATAGGATGATTGCACCAAGAAGGAGAGGCTGGAAAGAAGCCAGGTGAAGGCGTGTTGGCCAGGAAGAGGAGTTGGTTTTGTAGGATTAAACAGTGGACATGCCAGAATGTTTGAGAGCACCATGCAGCTAAGAGCCTCTCAACCTTACAACCCCCTTTACACACCTTTCCTCCTCTTCTGGTAATACTTCCGGGTGCCCTGCACCGTCCAGAGGCGTGCACAAAGGCTCCGTCTGCACCACATTCAGTGAGGTGTGGCTTTAACTCCGACCACCACATTTTAGTCCTTTGTACTGCCCTCTTTTTTCCATTTTGAACTGGCAAAAGGGTGAAAACAGGTAAAGCTGGAGGTGAAACAACGCCCTTTCTCTCCATCCTTCTTCTCCCCAGACACTTTCCTGCGCCATCAGAGCTCCCGTGGTGGAGAAGAGAGGAAGGCAATAGAGAATGAGGGTTGTCTAGTCTCTCCCAGAACGTCCGGACTCCTTTTAGTTTCCCATTTTGTTTCCCCCTTGCCCCACCTTGGCGACATCCTCCGAGGATCCCCCCTGCACGCGCCACTCCAGAGCATCCCTCAGTCTGTGTCCGCGCTACAGCCCACCTGCTTAGGCGTGGATTCCAGCTGCCTCTCAGTGATCTCCACGCTTCCTCCGTGTGATTCTGCTCTTTCTGCTGCTTCACCTTACCGGCGTCTCGATGGTGGAGGCCCGGCGTCCATCTGCTGGAAGCCCCTTCTGTACTCACTGTCCCCGGGGCGAGGGCTAACAAAGAAATGAGGAAAAGCAGGTGGAGTGCCAGAGACGAGAGCAGGAACGGGGTGAAGCCCGTTATACGTGCAGCCATTTAGTCTCTTCCTTTCTCTGTCTCTCCTCCTTTCTCCCTCTTCCACCTCAATTTTCTACCTTCCTCCCAGAGTGCGCCTTCCGTCTCTCTCTCCTTCGTTCCGGCTAGGTGGCCAGTTCCAGGACCGCCAGCACCGCCCCACACCTTCCCCCTGGCTCCTCCGTCTTTCTGTCGTCCCGGGGAGTTGGCATCTACCCGCTGTGATCCGTGGAGCCGGAGGTGTGCGCGTTAGGAGCGGCGCATCCTAACAGCATCTCTCCTCCCCTTCATTCTCATCCAACATGGCTCACACACTCACACTGACTGGCTGCTTGGCTGGCTCACACACACACACACTCCATCCCTCAGTGTGTATGTGTATGAGAGAGAGAGAGAGCGAGAGCGAGAGCGAGAGCGAGAGCGAGAGCGAGAGCGAGCGAGAGCGAGAGAGAGAGAGAGAGAGAGAGAGAGAGAGAGAGAGAGAGAGAGAG